AACCTCATTGTGATTGTGATTTGTACTTCCCTGGTGACTAGTGATATTGAGCATTTTTCACTTGCCTGTGGTTTTTAAAATTTTTCTTTTGATAAGAGCCTGTAGAGCAGCTCACATTGGTTGCCCAGAGAACCAGCTATATCCTGTGCCTTCTTATGCAGTCACAGGGTTTCCACAGTCTCAGCACACAGGGCTCCCATTGTCAATGGGTGCAGAGGATTTGATCCACCTTGCTAGACTGTCTCATTCACAGAGAGGCAGAGACATTCCAAGAGCCTTGACAGTTTGAGCATTGGAGCCTGTGACATGTTGAGAGATTGGGGGGACCTCAGTAATATGTGAGTGCACAGACTCTAGTCAATTTGCCAGCCAGACTCAAAGTCAGTGGGAAACATGGAGTTTTCCTTCTGTTAGAATCTAGATCTCACACATGCACAATAGCCACCAACCAAATGCTTCCTTTCCCCATCAGTTGCAAGTTGCATGCATTCAAGCTGCTGCCACTGGTACTGGTAGTAGATGGCATCTTGTCTCAGCCAGGTACTGGGCACGTGCACAAGAGCTTCTGCATCTTCTGTTTCTGTCCAAAATGGTGCCCACCTTCTCTCAACTGGTTATTGGGCATCATTGCTTAGTGAATGTAGTGAGAGAAACATGCCCCCCTAGTTTTTTACTGGGTCAGTGGGTACACTTTCCCCTCAGAGCTCCAGGCCAGACTCATGTCAACATCTCCCTCTGTCTACTCACCAGTGGTATGGGTTGCTGCAGTCTGATCTCACCTCACTCTCCAAAGCTGGTGCTTTCTCCTCCTCTTGGCTGCTGGCATCATGTTGTGTCTGTGTTCATGTTGCATGTCTGCATCATCCACACTGATCCATGGCATTTCTCTCCTGTAGAATTTCCACCGCAGTTTTCTCTAACTCTTCCCCAATAATGTACTTCCAACATTTTTTGAAACTAGTTACCACTAGTATATGCCCTTCCCTATTCCACCTTCTTTGAATCCTCCAACATGCATGCTTTTTATGGAATTTTAGCTACATAAAATCTGGAGATACTCTATTGAAAAATGCTAACATGGCATCCCCAGGGTATCCCTGTATTAAGAGGAACATAGTTAATATCATTGAATTATTTTCCATTGTTCAGTTGTTAGTGACACATGATCTTTCTTTGCAATTCTGTAATTAATTTGGGTAATAATTCTTAAAATTATATTATCTTTACTTGTTGCTGTGATTTCTCAACAATGTTGCAGTGGATTCATTTCTGAGAGGAGCAGCATGGTGGGGGCAAGAGGTGCGGAGTCACCACATAGACCCCAGGAGTCAGGTGAAAGCAGGCTTGAGGCGAGCAGCCCGCAAACTCGTTTATTACAGTTGGAATAACATCTTATATAGCCAAGACCAGCCAATCTGGTCAAGGGGTAACCTATGCCCCAACCAATCACAGCCTGTTGCCAGGCAGGCTCCATTGCCAAGTGGGTTTCAAAGCCATTCCTGAGTAACTGACACTCGCTTGCCAGTGGCCACCTTGGCATGGCCTTCTCATTCCACCACATTTACTAACATTTTTTACAAAATCAGTAGCAAATGAATGTCTTCATGAAACTAAGTTGTGTTTAATCTTTGCTAATTAATAAATTGTGTATGCCCTTTCAAGAATTCTTTCCAGCCTGTAATCATGGGTAAAACACTATTCTTGCATAGGGAGGTTTATTGTTTTTGTTCTTCCAGCTTATATATCTGTTATTCTGTATACATTTCTATCATAATCTAGTTTTGCACAGTGAAATGTAGGTACAATCCTGACCAGTTCTCTCACTACTGTCGCTCCCCCTCTTCGGAGGAACGACACTAGACCCTGCGCTGTTCTTTTGTCTGCTCAGCCCTTCCCGGGTTTGCTGCTGGTTCTTCCCGGGTGGGCTGCCATCCTTCCACCTCCGTGGAAGGGCGGCTCCCCCTGCCACTTTCCCCACTTCCGGGGGAGCGGCACACCACCGGCCGGCTCTCTCGGGGGCTGCTCAGATGTTTCTCAGGTGTTCCTGGTGCATGTTGTCTCTCCTCCTTTATAGTCCTCTTCCACAATCCCAACTCTGCTACCCACATGCGGAGCACGCTGCTCTCCTCCAATCAGGAGCAGCTCCTGCAGCTTGTCAAGTTGGTGAGAGGCAGCTGTGTAGAAGCTGTTTCCTCCTCTCCCAGCGCCATATTGTGGGAGAGCAGATGCATAGAATAAGTCTTAATTCCAGTAACTTAGTCTAGTTCGAGTTGCTCCCCACAACTACCACCTTCTTTCACTTTCTCTTCCAGATATAGTTCTATTGACTTCTACATGTCTACATGTTTCTAAGACCAGAGAAATTAATATATCTCAGTAACTTGCTACTTCATCATTTCTCAGCTCATTTTACATTGTGCTTTAGGACCTTTATGAAAATTTGTTACTTAAAATGGAACGGCAAACACAACATTCATCATTAGAGAATGCACATGAACAAGATAAAGTTGGCACGGTTATAAGAAAATAGAGCCATGTAAGCTGAGAGCAAATTAATATCTTGTCTTTCTCCCACCCATGTACTAACCAGGCCTGACCCAACTTAGTTTCCAAGATCAGATGAGATGGGGGGTGGGAGGTTCAGGGTTGTATGGCTTTAGATAGTCTCTTGTCTTTCTGATGCTATAGCAAAAAGATATATTTGTTACATTTCCATTTAAAAATTAATTTAAAAATTAAGAGGAAATTTGCTAAATACCTATGAGATGTATTCTGAAACAGAACCTTTATGAGTCATAAAGATGATGTTGTGCATAGTGTTTTAGTTCAAGGCTGGAAATAAACACTCAATATGCTGCAGAGCCAAGAATTACCTAGTGTTAAAATATAAACAGGGGCCAGCACCATGTCTTAGTTGGTTAATCCTCCACCTGCGGTGCCAGTATCCCATATGGGCACTGGAACCCATATGGGTTCTAGTCCTGGTTCTCTTCTTCCAGTCCGGCTTTCTGCTGTGGCCCAGGAAGGCAGTGGAGGATGGCCCAAGTGCTTGGGCCCCTGCACCTGCATGGGAGACCAGGAGGAAGCACGTGGCTCCTGGCTTCAGATCAGCACAGTGCCATCTGTAGCTGCCATTTGGGGGCTGAAACAACAGAAGGAAGACCTCTCTCTCTTTCTCTCACTGTCTAACTCTACCTGTCAAATTAAAAAAAAGCATAAACAGGTTATTTAGCTTATTTTGGAATTGCTAAAACAGTATGATCTTTGATAGCCTTTTGGAGCCTGTACTTATATAGATAAGACCAGGAGTATGTGGAGGACAAAATCTATTGTGTGGCCTTAAATAATTGTCCATGCATTTTTCTCAGTCTTAATGTAGGTTGCACAGACACTTTTTAATGTTATATTTTCAGGCAAATCATTCTACTATACATTTGAATTTTAACCTACTGAAATTAGTCTTAATTGAAACCCTGAAACACTTACCAGTAACATAAATTATAGTCAGAGCCAAAGGCTATTCTCTAATCATTGCATTAATTGAATCTTTTGTCATGTCTAAAAATAGTTTTATCTTCAAGAGAAAGGGAGCTAGGAAGAATGAGACATATAGGTAGAGAGAACACTTTTTTGCATTAATTCATTCCTCAACACCCACAGCAGCCAGACCTGGGCCAAGACTGAATACAAGAGCCAGAAATGTAGTCCCAGTCTCTCAGAGGTAATGATAGAAGCCTAATTAATTGATTCTGGAAGTCACATCCAGGCACTCTAAAGTAGAACTAGGGTATCTTAATAGGCATCATAGGCCGGTGCTGTGGCTCACTAGGCTAATCCTCAGCCTGCGGTGCCAGTACTGTGGGTTCTAGTCCTGGTTGGTGTGCTGGTTCTGTCCCGGTTGCTCTTCTTCCAGTCCAGCTCTCTGCTGTGGCCCAGGAAGGCAGTGGAGGATGCCCAAGTGCTTGGGCCCCTGCACCTGCATGGGAGACCAGGAGGAAGCACCTGGCTCCTGGCTTCAGATTGGTGCAGCACAATGGCAGTAGTGGCCATTTGGGGGTGAACCAATGGGAGGAAGACCTTTCTCTGTGTCTCTCTCACTGTCTAACTGTCTGTCAAAAAAAAAATGGCATCATAACCACTACACTAAATGCATAACGCCCATTTAAATGTTTTCTTTGGCATATTTGAAAGTACTATATATGATTTTCCCCTGGTAATTCCTCTCTGTTTCTATCAGAACTCCACTGATGGTTTCTTGTATTTTCCTCCTGAAACCATCTGCATTTCCTTAACATTACCCATCTAGGTATTCCCCCATTGATCCCAATCTCTGATTCTGCTTGACTGATTTTGCCATCTGTAATCAGACATTCTCTTTCCAGTCTGAACATCTTCCATGACCTTTAGACTATAGTTCCTTCTCCATCTTGAATGCTTCTTTGTAGCTGTTCAAATAATACCTCACACTTGATGAATCTCAAATGAAACCTGCAGCTTTCATTCTTTTTATTTGTATATGGTATTAGTACAAGCCAGCCATGACTTAAATCAACATAATGGGATTTTTGTTGGACTCCTCATTTTCTATCAGGTCTAATTTCAGATCTTTCTTTGTCTTTAAATTTGTAATCTCATTTTTCATTGCTTGATTTTATTTTTACACTAGGTGGACAGAAAGCAATCCTCCTTAATAAAGTTGACAATTAGCTTCACTCAGAACATTTTAGCAATGCACGTTAAAAAAATTCATCTTACAAATTGTTCTGCAATCCAAATATACAACAACTTGAAAAGCGATGTTTAGAAAACAAAATCCAATGTAAAAAGACAGATTAAAGGCTATGGAGATGTACCTGGACTCAAATTGAGTTTTGCCCAAAAATTGCTGTATGTTGTCATCTTGCTTACGCCTGGTCCCCATGACAGTCTGGTTTGTCCATTCTCTGAACTTCAATTCTTCCCGTTCCTTCATGGATCTGAAGACTCTCTTCCTCCTTGAAGGACTTTGCATCACTGTCTTCTGCTGAGAGTTGGGACAATGTTGGATTGCTGGTGGAACAAGCCCACCACAAACTATAAATACACTCTTCCTGACCAATGACTTGACTGAGCAGGTGATGGGGGAGGCTCTGCATAAGAAGGCAGATCTCATCTTTTCCTACCTTCCACCTATTTTCCTACACATAAAGTGTATTACCTGGACATCCTGAAAGGGCGCCTGGTGTTCCGGGCTTTGGAGAACAGAGTTGGCATCTACTCTCTTCACACAGCCTATGATGCTGCACCCCAGGGATTGAAAAAGTGGTTTTCCAAAGGGCTTGGAGCCTGCACATCTAGGCATATATATCCTTCCTGTCGCTCCCCCTCTTCATGGAGGAACGACACTAAACCCTGCCTAGGCTTCATATCCGAGTCACGGCACCATTATGTCGCTCCCCCTCTTCGTGGAGGAACGACACAGGACCCTGCGCTGTTCTTTCGTCTGCTCGGCCCTCCCGGGTTTGCTGCTGGTTCTTCCCGGGTTGGCTACTATCCCTTCCACCTCCGTGGAAGGGCAGTTCCCCTGGCCACATTCCCCACTTCCGCAGGGGAGCGGCACACCGCCGGCCAGCTCTCTCGGGGGCTGCACAAGCGTTCCTTCAGATGTTCCCCTTAGATGTTCCTGGTGCATGCCGTCTCTCCTCCTTTATAGTCCTCCTCCGCCAATCCTAACTCGGCTGCCCACACACCGAGTACGCTGCTCTCCAATCAGGAACAAGTCCTACAGTTTATTGGTTGAACTGGAGGCAGCTGTGCGGAAGCTGTTTACTTCTCTCCCAGCGCCATATTGTGGGAGAGCAGATGCATAGAATAAGTCTTAATTCCAGTAACTCAGTCCAGTCCGGGCTGCTCCCCACACTTCCAAAGCTCATGGCTTTCCTATAGAGGGAACCACTGAGTACAATTCAACATTAACCATACCCAAGATATGGACAAAGTTGTGTCTGCAGTGAGAGAAGTTGAAGGTGTTCCTGTCACTTCTTTTTCTGCTAGGATTGGTGAGGAGACAAATAAGGATCGCCTGAATTGTACTGAGAAGCCTTTGATGCAGGTGGTGGCTCAGCTCTCTCAAAACAGATAACTTTACCAGAGATCTGAAATTCTGTCACTGCAGAGAAGCCTTTGCTCTACATACTGGAATGGGTCGATCATGCACCCTGGATGAATCTGTTGCCTTGGCAACCATGATTGAGCGAATCAAAAGACACCTCAAACTAACTCATATTCAATTAGCTCTTGGGGTAGGAGGGACCTTAGCATGAGTCAAAGCTGTGGCCCTGTGTGCTGGTTCTGGGAGCAGCGTCCTGCAGGGTGTGGAAGCAGACCTGTACCTCAGGGGTGGGATGTCCCATCATGATGGTCTGGATGCTACTTCCCAAGGAATAAATGCCATCCTCTGTGAACACAGTAACACTGAATGAGGCTTTCTTTCTGACCTTTGTGATATTCTGGGTACCCGCTTGGAGAATTAGATTAATATTATCTTGTCAGAGACAGACAGGGCTCTTCTTTGTGTGGTATAAGGCATACAGAAACATCAAGATGATACAACCTACAGATTGCATCTCCACTCATGTGGATATGCAACATGAGTCAGTGGAGCTGATATATCTTTCTGGAAGAGTATCTTAAGATGGATGAGGATGCTTCAAAAAGTTCATGGAAATGTTTATTTTGAGAAAACTACATAGATTAAAAAAATTTCACAAAATACACAACTTTTAGCTCCATTTTCTGCAAACCTTTCTTAACTGCCCTTATATTATCTTTTCTAGTTTATCTGGTTCAACAAATGTTATAGTTCATAAGGAAATAACTGAACTACCATAATGAAGAGCAAATACTAAGAAAGATCAACTAAAGATTCTTGGGAAGTAACCAAGTAATTCTCTCCTTAGTTTAGTTATAGTTGGGATATGTTAACCTAGATATCTCTGCCATTGGTTAGTTTTAAAATGTCCTTTAAAAACTTGGAATTGAACACCTATTTTGGGGCAGTAGCCAGTTTGGGATGATATGGTCTGTCCCTGTGTCCATGTTCTGTAGGTCCACCTAAATTCCAGTGTTTCACCTCAGTTTCAGAATCAGCATGAGATGTATTAGGAGGAAGTTGTTTTTAATATGATTGCTATTCAGATTACTATGTCTTATGCTTTTTATTTTATAAAAATAAACCAAATTATAACATTAGTCCAAGCCCTAATCCTTACCCTGGCCCTAGCCCTAGCCTTAGTCCTTGCCCTAACCCTAAACCTAATCCTACATCTAAACCCATTCTGAAGCCTAATACTAGGTCTATCGCTAGACAAAGCATTAACCCTAAATTTGGCCCTCATCTTAACCATAACCTTACCTTAACTCTATACTTAGCCAAAATCCTAATTGTATCCCAACATGGTGCTTTACCCCAATCTAAACTCTAACACTAGCACTAATCCTTTCCCTAACTTTAGCCTTAATAACACAAGCATTAGCCTTAATCCTAATCTGAGCCCCAACTCTAACCCTAACAGTAATACCAAAATTTAAACCTAACTCTGCCTTAACCCTAACACTAACCCTGGCCTAAAACCTATCCATAGTCCTAACTTTAACTATCACACTAGCTCTAACCATAGTCCTAACTCTGGCTCTAACTCTAAAATTTACCATAGAACAATCTAACCTTAATCTAAACTAATTTTAAATCTCACCCCAACACTAATCCTATCTTTCTGCTTAGGCCTAACCCTAAAACAAACTAGCATTCAGTGTGAACTTGACCATAGACCTGATGCTAACTTCAATGCTATATCTAACACCAGCCTTAAACTAACCATCATGCTAACACAAAGACTAAGCCTCATCCTAGTGATGATGACCCTAACTTCAACTAACTGTATATTATATATAACCACAGCTCTCTCTATATATTATAGATATATAACCATATTTATAACAATAAATATTTATAACCATATATAAAAATATATTATATATATTATTATATAAAATGTATATAAAACCACAGCTCTAACTTTATCCCTAGCCCTACCTAAATTTATCCCTAATCCTAGCTCTATCTCTAGGCCTAACAATAGCCTTAACCCTATCTATAACTCTAATCACAAATCGAATCCTAAATATAACCCTAGTCCTGGACCTAATCCTTATTCTCACCCAAAAGCTAAACATAACTCTTTGTGTAGCCCTAACCCTAAGCCTAGCCCTAACCATAACCCTAACCATGGCTTTTAATCTAACCCTAGACCTAAGCCTAAACTTAACAGAACCCTAATCCTACAACTAGCCCCAACTCTTGCCATAAGCCTAATACTAACACCACCAACACTAAACATAAACCTAGCTCTAAATCTTACCCTAACCCCAACCCTAACAATAGCCTTAATAATAGCACTCAATCTAAACCTTAACACCAATCCTAGCTCATCCTAGTCCTAATACTAACCCTAACACTCACTCATCCTATACCTAGCCCTACACTTAACTTCTAACCCTAAATGGCAGAATTTGCATTCACATGAGCTGTCAGGGTTTATATACACTTGAGTAACTGAAATGGTCAGAGAAACAGAAAGTGAGCCCAAGCCCATTTGTGTTTGAATGGTGCCATCATTAGTCACCAATTCTGAGCAAATTGTTGTTAAACTTCTAGGTGTCACTGTGGTGATACATATGGGAAGGCTTGTGACTTAGGATGAGAAAAAACTGCAACTTGGCAAAAAATTTCAGAAAGCCTCAGTCAGTTATTGAAGTCTAATAGAGGCTTTATGAGTAACTGCCACGGATTGGTCCTCCAGTCCTAGTGTAAACTTTGTAACAGGAGGAAAACAGACAAAATGCTGAAAATGTATCATTTGAAACATATTAAGTGGAAAAATCCAATATAGAAGGCAGATCAAATGAATTTTATTGTCTACAAATAAAAAAATGAGCTGAATGCCAACAGTGGCTGTGCTCTATGATGAAAGATAATATCTGAGTAGTACTTGTGAAAATAAACTGCACCCTCTCAGGGAGGCCTGGAAAAGTGATGCTCACAGTCAAGCATGTAGATGTAATGGCTACAACACTCCACAGAAAAAGAAAACCTTGGATTTGATCCCAAGTCCAGCTCTAGACAACTCTTCAAACACAAAAGAGAAAACGCATTTTGCATTTTTCCCCATCAGAGTAGCAGCAAAATATGCAGTCATGGGAGCAGGGAGGAAGGGGAGGACTGAGAAACAGTGTGCAAACCTAAATCGGTTTGTGATTTAATGGTGCTGTGACTTTGCACGTGTTCTCAAAACTGCCCATTTTAAAACAACTTTATCTTTGTATCTTCTTGTGGTGCATTGGCTTTGGGAAGTGGGTTGGCATGGGGACACAGGAAGTCACCTGGACCATTGGTCACCTTGTGGGCTGCCTTAGATGCTGGAACTGAAGGCACCAAGATCAGCAATGGGGTCCAGCTCTGAGATTAGACCCGAGGACTCTGGGGCTGGCCAAGGTATCTCAGCTTCCCAGCAGGTCCTGGAGGCTGGGGGTGCCTCATCTTGCCAGGCTCTGCCAGATTTCCCCAGGTGCCAAAGTCTATGCTGCAGGACAGGGTGCTGATGCCTCCCTGACCCCACTCCTGGCCTGCTCCCACCACTTGCCTCATAGCAAGCAGTGCTGGTTCCTTGAATGGATTCGCTATTGTGTACATGGCAGCTTAATTTTCTGACTTTGTGTTGACTCTGAAACCAGATGCTATGGAATTATAGAGATTTACTGTATTTACCCAGAGTAACTGAAATGCTGTTTGTAAAAATTCACCTGAGTATTTATTTTAAATACATAATTCAAGGTTTAGATGGTTTCATTTTTAGATGCTTAATTTTGGTAGCAAGCACAATATTTTGACAAAAATATTTGTAGGAATTTCTTTCCACCATAAATTCAATATAAAATGTGTGTTGTGACTGATGTTATCATTTGTTTGCTGCTGATACTGTAAGT